GGGGGGATAGTCTGGACGCGCGGGTGGCGACATCAAAGGTATTTGTCGACCACCCAGGTATGCCTCCTGGGGTGAGGTTTACCTGGGTGGTCGACAAATACCTTTGATGTCGACACCCGCGCGTCCAAACTATCGCGCTGAGCCCACAAACAGCTGCTGATTAGCTGTTTGTCGGCTCAGCGCGGCAGCCATGTAAATTTAAATGAAGCGGCGATTATTTAAATCGCCGCTTCATTTTCCTATGTCGGGTAGCCTAATCTACATGCCTCTGGCGACAGAGGCATGTAGTCTAGATGTACCCCCAGTCTTTGGGCCCACTTCTGTCTCACCAAAGACATTTTCAAATCTGGGGGCCTAACCGTAGGCATCTAAATACATAGTTAGCTACTGGAATATAACTAGGTGGATTTTTCTGAGCTACCCATTGGCTTCAATGCAGCTCTGAAAGGAGGTACCCAAATAGGTATTTTTCCGTTAACTTTTCCATTAACTCCACGGGGGCAGGACAAGGCTCTGTGTCACTTTTCACCAATTCCAAATAAATCTCCTGACAGTCCCCTGCTAACCATTTCCCTTGCTAGAATGAGTCTTGGAAAAAAGGATATTGGGGTCCTAACTGTCAGGGTGGTTAAACACTGGCATAAATTGCCCGGGGAGGTTGTGGAATCTCCATCACTGGCGATATTGAAGAGCAGGTTGGACAGACATCTATCAGGGATGAGCTAGAATGATGCTTGCTCCTGCCATGAAGGCAGGGGCCTGGACTTGATCTCTCACGGTCCCTTTCAGTTGTCAGTGTTCTATGATGCTAATAGGCACAACAGCGCTACAAATAAATTGTGCCAATGTCGGCTCCTTCATCATGGGTGTTGCAGAAAGCTGCGATTCCCTAGCAGCCTTACCTTTCAGACACCACGGAGCTCCCCGGTTTCTGTTTATCTGTTGGAAGGAGGGGAAAAAAAGTTGGTGCTGTGTGGAATTCTATGACTGAGCAAAGTGAGATTTATTCCGAATGCCACTGACCACCACACGAGTCAATCAATGGAATGTTAAAGCCTCTGTCAGGTATTTCAGCCCAGTTAGAAAAAACGTCTCCAACCTCACGGTCTACAACTGAGTGAGCTGATGTTTGCGTTGCTTGTTTCGGTTAAGCCTTTTGGCAAACATTCATCTGAAGAAGTGGGCTGTGCCCACGAAAGCTCAGGATCCCATCTGCATGTTTTGTTAGTCTTCAAGGTGCTGATATTTGTTGTTTTTTAAGTTTTTCCGTTGCAGACTAACCTGGCTACCCCTCTGAAGCTACTGATCAAGTATTGTGTCAGTACTGGAGCAGCTTTGCCCCCTACTGGGCACTGCTTGCTTGAGCTGCAACATAGGCATCACCTGGAAATCTTACTACACTTTCCGTGCAAACATGGGAATGCAATGCTAATGCGGTGTGGAGCGAGAAGCTGAAACCCGGGAGACGTAGCCAATTGCATCGAGACAGCGCCAGCAGGCTTATCTCTGTCCCTTGTGTGTGGGGTTAGAACTTGGTCTTTCACTATGGCTATGTCTAGACTGCGCGCATTTTGCACAAATACTATGCAAATGAGGCGAAGCGTGGAATATCGCCGTACATCATTCAAAATTAATGAGACTCCGTTTTTGTGCAAGAGACTTTTGCGCAAGAGCTGTTCTTCCTGAAAAAAATGCAGAAGAACGGCTCTTGCACAGGAGGAGGGTTTTGCGCAAAAACGGAGCCGTGTAGACGGCTCCTTTTTGCACAAAAGCCTCTTGCACAAAAACGGCGCCTCATTAATTATGCAAATGAGGCATGGCGATATTCCACGCTTTGCCTCATTTGCATATTGTTTGTTCAAGAGGCTCTAGTGTAGACATAGCCTATATGTTCACACTGCATTGTTTTATTTACATAGGCAACAATGACTATTCGCCACTGCACAAGACAAAGCTGTTTTTAATAAAAGCATCTTAAACTCATTCCCTCCCCCTCTAGTCAAAGTAGGCAGATCAAGTTTTTTGCTAATTAGTAGGCGTAAAGGAGAAGATAATTGCAGGATGAGACCAAACATCACATGTTTCAGCCTACAAAGAATTTTTATACTACAATTACATGGGCCCAGTTCTGAAGTCCATCTGTGACTGAAAACAGGGATCTGGACCAGAAACACCCTTTATCTCCATACACAATCCACTTGTGGCCCTGCTGGAATGCCTGTAACCACACAAGCCCATACAAATACCTTCTGTATCTTTGGCACGAGTACACTTGAATCTCAGACTGACCACGCTGACCAGGATGATAACAACAACTACCAAAATGACTATGAAGCTGATGACACCTGAGGAATGGAGAAAGGAATAATTAGTCAATGATAACGTAACGGAGCCCAGTCTGACTCCTCCTGAAAGTCAATGAGTTAGCTGTGTTGACTTCTACAAGGTTTTGATTGTGTCCCCAAGGAAAAACATGAAGCAGATTTCTATTTCTGTTGTAATGAATATCGAAGTGTATTGGCCAGAGAGGTGATACTGACTAGAATGAGAAACCTCTTGCTCTTTTGTTTTAGCTGGTATTGTCCTCAAAGGACAATGTATCTTGATTTTCAATTAACCTTTAATTCAAAAGGCTGAGTTAGCTCCTGGGGCAGGTCTACACTACAAAGCAAAGTTGACCTAATTAACACAACTCCAGTAATGAATATCGAAGTGTATTGGCCAGAGAGGTGATACTGACTAGAATGAGAAACCTCTTGCTCTTTTGTTTTAGCTGGTATTGTCCTCAAAGGACAATGTATCTTGATTTTCAATTAACCTTTAATTCAAAAGGCTGAGTTAGCTCCTGGGGCAGGTCTACACTACAAAGCAAAGTTGACCTAATTAACACAACTCCAG